ACTTAAGGTGTTCAGACCTAATTACTTAATAAACTCAACCGTCAGGTGTTTCTTTTGACCTAGGGATGCTGTGAAAAAAATTACTGCCATAATAAGGATGCCATGAATTGAGAAAGTGTGGGGACCTGACTGATAAAGGCCTATGAAGAAAGCCTTTTTTTTTTTTTTTTTTTTTTTTTTTTTTTGTGAGATAGAGTCTCGCTCTGTTGCCCAGGCTGGAGGGCAGTGACACAATCTCAGCTCACTGCAACCTCTGCCTCCCAGGTTCAAGCGATTCTTCTGCCTCAGCCTCCCTAGTAGCTGAGACTACAGGTGCATGCCACCACACCCAGCTAATTTTTGTATTTTTAGTAGAGATAGAGTTTTACCATATTGGCCAGGCTGGTCTCAAACTCCTGACCTCGTGATCCACCCACCTTGGCCGCCCCAAGTGCTGGAATTGCAGGCGTGAGCCACCATGGCCAAAGAAGGCCTTTAAGAGAGAGAAAGAATGTGTGTGTGTATAGTTATGAGGTTACTGTGGATTGTTTGGATTGTTGTCAACAAAATTTACAATAGGCCAATGAAAGTACTCTCTCTAGTGTAGTAAGGGCTGTAACAGATGTTATGACAGCACATAAGAGAAGCAACTGGCCCAGTCTTTAAGTTTTTTCTTTTTTTTTTTGAGGGATGGGATCCAGAGAGAAAACCTAATTACAATTTTTTGGAGAAGTATAACCTAAACGGAGTTCTGAAGGACCAGTAGGAATATACCCGAGATTAGAGGAAGGAAGAGAGGCTACAATTCCAGGAAGGGGAAATGAAGGACTGAGTAAACAAACACTAGCATTCCAGAAGCTGGGTATTGCTATAATAGAAGATCATCCAAGAAAAGAAATAAGGCTAAAGGGTTAGGTAAGAAAAAAAATAAAAAATAAAGAAACATGAAAGATAAAGGGGGAAAAAAAGAGAGGTAAAGAGTACATCTTGAAGGTTTTGTATATGAGATTAAGGAAAATGGAGTCTGAATTTTATTAATGGGCATAAAAGAGCCACAAGAAGATTTTAAGCAGAGGAATATCCCCATTATTCTAAGTAAGAACAGGAAAAGATCAGATGGGTTCCAACCACAGGCTAGAAGGCTGCTGTCGTAATCCAGAATATCTAGACAGGGTAGCTGAACTCAGTGTGCAGTCACTCAGTGGCAACCTCCACTTTCAATAGAGTACTATGCTAGCTTCTCAACTACATAGAAAAACAGATCCTGTGGCTTAGATGACCACAATCATAATCTTTTGGAAACTGGGGATCTTTGTCCACCTTCCCAATAAATCTGGGCGTATAAGCCATTTTATAATCTAACTGTGTCTTACTGTCCAAAATAACATTATCAAATCCTGACATTCAGTTTCAAAAGTAAATTCAGCAATAAAATGGGATCCCAGACTTTAAGGATACTATGTATGTCGGTGTTACGTCTACTGCATCTAATACAGGACTCTAGCTGTGAAGACCTTTAAGAAGAGTATCATTTTATGGAAGCATGCCTTTTTTGGCTTGTACAGACTACCCTCTTGACTTTGAGAAACTAAGTCATCACCTTCACATATAATTAAATCAAAGATGCAAATTCTCATCTAAAATTTACTCACACATCTTCTAAAAACCCATAGAACTTTAATTTCCTTTTTTCCATATGGCAACCCAAATCCTTATGAATGTGGTAAGGTAATAAGAAAGATGCCTTCAAGAAAAAACAGAATAACTATTACTTCTGGGGGCCAGATAATCAGCTGTTCTTTACTTAAAGGTATATCTTTTTTAAAAAAGACAGAGCGAGAGATGAACACATTCTTCACTTAAGTCTATTTAAAAGTACACAGGCTTAGAAAGAGGGTAGAGAATTATACCAGCACTGAATAGCAGTTAGACCATTACAACACCTCTGCCACCTTTAAGCCTCCATCTTAAACCCAGAGAAAATGATTTATGGTCTCAAATAGTTAAAAACAGACTGAGCACATCTGCTTCTTTTACCATTCTTTCTACTGTCCCCCATGGGTTCTCCCCTATTTCCATTAGTGAAAGAACTAAAAAACAATGTGATTTCAAGAAAAGGTCACTACAAATAGATTTATGGCATTCCTCTCAAATACGGATGATTCCGTTACTTTAAAAAGCACTAATCAAACACCAGAACTGAGTTCAAATACTTCATCAGGACACGTATGGAACAATGCCCAGCCATTTTCCACCATGGCACACATAGAAGGTGATAACACTGTATTTGTAGGTTATAGAAAAGAATGGCTGCTGCTTGAGGCCACCTGGCCAGGGCCACTGGCAACTCAGGCCACACTTGATGCCCAAGAGTGCTGAGAGGAATCAGGGTCTTCGCTTTCCTGAAGCTCCGGTTTCCGGCTCAATCAGAATTGCCTTTTCCACAGCCATTTAGGATGAACTGCAGTTAACAATTTCACTGCCCTCAGAAATAGTTACTTTCAAATCTAGGCTCTACTACACACAAGGTAGGTGCCTAGCCTCTGGCAAATAACTTCAATTTACCTTAATAAAGTATGGGAAAACTACCTGTCTTGCAGAAGTGTTGTGGAGATTAGAAATAATATAAGTAAAGCTCTTATCACTGTGCTTGGTAGGCAATCAACACATGAGAACTCTTATCACCAAGAGGGTTGCTGAATTAAAGAAAAAAAATCTAACCTCTGTATAATGGTAATGTCACTGAGATAAGAAATTGCTGGCTTCCAATTCCTTAGTCTCTAAAAGTTAAAAGGTTTTATAAAACAATGAAAATCATAAACTGTCTTCTTCAAAATCATGATCTTTTCCCTCATTAACATTCACAGCCTCTTATTCCAGTATTTTAAAAATAATTGTTCTTGCCACTCATCTACTAAAGAATACGATTGCATTATTAACTAATACACATAGCTACAAGAAGTGACACTGGTACATTTATTCATGTTCTGTAGAAGCTAAGCTCGGAGGACCACCACGAGATACTTGGAGAGGACAGAAAACATCAGCACTTCTTCTTTGAACCACCTTAATGTGAAAATAATCCAACCATCTATAGACAAAAATCTTCCCTCACAAATGGTAAACAAAATTGTTTTCTATAATTAGACCCCTTTTCCTTTGGAAAGCCCTGTGAAGAAAGTGTTATAATGAAGTACTGCTTCCCAACGTATGACTGCACACTCAACAAACGCACTATAGACCAAAATCTGGATCTTGGAAAATAAATATGAAAGAGGCTATTGGTAAATCATACCAAGGTCATATCAGGATGTCAGAGGATTGTATGTATTCCTGGGAACAATGAACCACTATAAGCAATTCTGGGATGCACCACGTTTTCCAAACAGTGGTAATTCCTAATTTCCTCTTTTTGATTAAGATAGGGTACAGTTATCAACCCCAAACATAAACTTGCTGTGTATCACCAGACAATCTCTTCCTACTAACTCTGAATATGCCCAAATAGTAAGCATTTAACACTGGAATACAAGTTATTATAATGTCCAGCACAATTTTAATATAATTTTAACCTTTCAGAGGAGAATAGTTTTGGAAGGCAAATAATTATTTGACTCTGCTGAAGAATGTAAAGCTGAAGTAAAGTCTGTATATGCCAAAAACCTAAAACAAAACAAACAGCCTAGCTCAACAAATTAACCAACTCCTGGATGGTGACTGTGAGATAACCTATACATTCATTCACTCACTGCAGGAATGTGTGAACAGCTTCTATGTTCAAGGCATACTGCATAGAAACAGTGACACGGCTCCTGCCCTGAAGAAATTCAAGGTCAAAAAACGATGTTTTAGGATAATATTTTATAATAGTGTATTATTTCAGTACAAGAGCCAGTTTAGAATAATATTAATATTACCAGAGACAAAAAAACGTGAGCTAAGGCACACTGAAATACATTAATAAACATACTGTAAGAGTTTACTAATGAAATCTGGTATCCAATTTCTGGAACATGATTAAAGTTGCAATTTCCCGGAAAAAATTAACTTATGACACATGTTTTATAAAGGTTGTTCCCCATACACACCACACAATTTGTAAATTAGGTGCTTTTCAGCTTGACACTTAGGGCGTGGCACGGGACTTCACATACTACCTCAGCGACACTTGGATGAGCTCTCACAAGTCTGGACATTTGGATTTCCAAGCAAAGGCCAGTTAACTCCCTAATTCTCCCTAAATCCTGAAACAACACTGCCACCACTGTGTGCCGTCACCCCCGTCTACTCACACACATATACCCTGTCTAAAGCATGCCAATCACATCTTCCACTTCTGGAAATCTTTCAGAAACGAACCACGGAGGAAACACCACTCTCCCAAAATGCATTCTCTTCCTCATTTTAGAAGCTAGGCTACCTGAATATGGGCTAAAGCTGTGCAAGCGCCCAAGGCCAGGTATTCAGTTCAGTGCGGGGAGTCTAATGACTTAAGTCTGAAAAACCCATTCCTTTAACTGGCAAAAAAACAAAAACAAAAACAAAAAAACCGAATTAAAAAATCCTGGCGGAGATGCTTAAAAAGCAGCTGTTCTAGTACAGGCATGGAGTGGAAAGAAAGGGAAGGAGGGGAGAGGGGCGGAGTGAGGCGCTGGGACTGCGGCGGCAGCGGGTTGCCCCAGGTCGCGGGCACCGCCCGGGCGGGAACTTGGGCGCAGTGGACTAGCTGTGCGGGGTGACCTTCGGACGAGGCCAACTCGGAGGGGCTGCCGGGCGCAGGGGACCTCGCCGCAGCCGCCCGCTCTCGGGGGCGTACTCGCCCCACAGCTGCGAACGCGGTGCCCCGGATTCCAGCCGAGCTCATCTCGCAGCTCGTCCCAGAGCAGAACGCGGGACGTGCAATCTCGGCAGCCAGAACCCGCGTCTGGGCCTCGGCCCGCCGCCGCCCGGACACACCCCCGCCACAGCCCGGGTGGCCCCAGTGCCTCCCCCGGCGGCCCGAACCGGCATCTCTCTCTCACCTGAACGGCGAGCCAGTCCGCCGCGCTGAGGGCTCCGGAAGCCGCGGCTGCGTGGCTCCGCCAGGAGGGTACACGGCCCTTGTCGCCTGGGAGGCCCCGCGCCCGGAGCGGTCGAAGGAGGAGTCTGACGGGTGGTGGCTGAGCTTAGGCGGCTGGAGGAGGAGGTGGACTCCGACGCTTCGCTCTGGGGAGATCCACCCTCCTCCTGGCGGCTCTGCAGCAGCCGCCGCAGATCACTTCCGGGGCGCTGGGGAGCGGGGCGGGGCGGCTGGGGAGCGACTTCCTGTCCACGGGCTGAGAGAAGGGTGATCCTGGCCCAGGCCGGAGAACAATGGCTCGCAGGGCGCAGGCTGCCGGGCCTCCGCCCGCTGCGTGCTGAGGGCTGTCTGCGCTTTCTGGCGGCCCCGCCCCCGGCTCTCTGAGCTCCGCGAGGTGAAGTCATCTCCCCGGGGCTCGGGAGTGGCCGCAGGCCTCGCGGAGGTTCCCGGATCTCGGCGTCGGCACCGCGATGTCCTTGTCTTTCTTTTGGGGACCAGGAGGGGGTTCTTGGGGAGGAGGGGAGTGCGGAGGCCGCCATCTTGCTTCTAGAGGGTCAGCTCCTGCTCCCTGGGCGTCTCAGGATTGAGGCCGCTGGGTGTCGTGGCCGGAGGTGTTCAGAGCAGAGCTGGCGACGTGGCATGTCGCGGGCCAAATCCCAGGAGGCCGGTCATCCGCCTGCCCTGGCTGGAGGATCTCGTGGCCGCCCTGGGCCTCATCTAACTGCTCGCCCCTGGGAGAATTCGCCTCCACGGACGGTCTGAGAGTTCTTTCTGAGGGGTCTGGGATCCCCTTTCGACACAGCAGGCCGGGTGTCGGTGTGGCACTGAGATTATCGTGCGGCCCCGTGGCACTGTGATTTGGTAGCTTGTGAGATGTAGTTTCACTAAATCCGTAAATTTAAGTTAGCAGCTACAGATTCTTATGTCTTGACATTTATATATTCGTTTATCTCTCTTTGCTCCCCACAAATTGAGTACCAACTACGTTCCTGGCATGAGTCATTCAAGGAATGTCCAATCTAGTAGGCAGACGGACATAAAAGCAAATAATTGAGATTGGAAGTATGGTATATCAAGGTACACAGGGTAATGAATGGATGGCTTTACTAACTGTAGGTTAGAGTTTTCAAGATAAATGGGCATTTTTCCACTACAAAAATAGGGGTGGGATGGCAAATCCAGATCTGAACAGAGAGGAAATCCAGCACGGGGACAAATAATATGTTGAGAAGCATGAGTAATAATTACAGGTCTTAAAGTTCAAACTTAGGTTGCTGAAAAAGATGAGGCTGGAGAAGACAGCAGGAGCCAAATCATGGATCATCTATGCCCTGGTGAGGCAATGAGTGGACAGACTACAATTTAAGCGATTCTGTTGGTAGAGAATAGATAACTTGGTGGTGGGGTGGAGGGGAAGGAAAAGGGCAAGCAGAGAGTGGACAAGGGGTCATTGCAGAAGTCTAGAAGAGAAAACTTAAGGACCCTTGTGTGAGTGGCAGTGAACATCCAAAGGAGATGGATTCCTAAAATATTCAACAGGCCAGATCAACTAATACTTGGTTGCTAGGGGCAGCTGCAGGATAGGAGAATGGAAGAGGCAATGATGATGCCTTGTTTTGCTTTGAGGGAGGAGTAGAATAAGGGTGTATTTTACAAAGTAAGATAAGGAAGTGTTAGGACTGGGAGGGACAGTCATTTTTGCAGGAAAAAATGAGTTTAGTTTTGGATCTGATGTGTGAAGTAAGAGTGGTGCTGTCTAATGGTGCTTGATACATGGGTCTAGAGTTCTGGGGAGGAGCTGGGCTGAAGTTGGAAACACCACAGGTTTACATTACCACATCCAAGCTGACTACAGTCTTAACGTCATTGAGCACAGTTTCAAAACCACTTCTCCTTTCTCCCTGCCTTTACTTGGGAAAATTACTGAAGTGCTGCATTAAAAAACCCAATATGAGTGATTTGTGCCCATTCATAGACCAATATTCTAATGTTTAATGGTCTTCTAAGGACCCTAAGGGTCAGGCTTAGCAGAAACTGGGTGTAACAGTGGTAACTATTAATAGTATAGCATCATTAACTCAAAAATGAAATCTATGTTTATATTTTAATTTTTTTCTTTTTTATTCTGTAGGAATTGCTCCATTCCAATAAAACATTTTAAATTTAATCATTGACAACAGTTAAGCTGGCCATAGGCTAAGGATTGAGGATGGTGGGTTGCACAAATATCTGCTGAATGGAGAACTAGAAGGAGGATGACTTCAAGAAGAGTAAGCAATAGGAATGCAATGAAAGACAACGTCAAATTCATTAGTCAGCCTGTCTCAGTTGCTTTTCGGTGGCTCACAGCTCTGCTAACCTAGCATAAATCAGTTAGAAATAGAATAGTTCATTTTGAGCAGAGGCTTCAGAAAACCACAAATAGTAAAAGCCCTATAATAACTACACCTGCAAACCAAAGACTAATTATTGGTTTTAGCTCTATATCCCTGTAGAACTGCATTTTTGAATACACACAAAAATGAGAAACTTGTTCACTTCTTAGATTATTTAAATACAGTATTTTCAATTTGCCTAGGATAAAGAAGCATTTAGATGTGTTGAACATTCATATAATGGATAATATACTGAACAAGAAATGAGAATAATTAGCTTGAGTTCGTTTTTTGTTAGTTGTTCGCTGTATGACCCTAGCAGTGTCACTTAACCTCTCTATGCCCTAGTTTCTTGACTGTAAAATAGAGATAATAATGTCTGTCAGTCGCATCTCAGAGATATAGGAAATAACAAATTAATGCTATGAAAGCTCTTTGAGGTACTTGGATGAAAGGGCATAATTGTAAGTACATATTATTAATAATTAGCTCTAATATCCAGTAGCACTCATGACCATTACTAACTTTGCTGCCTGGATTACTCAAAGAACATGAAGGATCCAGTTTTGAAATACACTTAGGTATTTTTTCTTGACTTGTGAATTTACTGTTTACTATTTATGATCAAACCTTGTATATTAAATATAGTTAGTAAAAGAGGGAAGTAAAAAGAAGTTTTCGTAACCACAACTTTTATGTTCATGCTACTCATAGCTAATATATGCTTTAGGGGAAAATACAGGGTAGGTAGGGATTTGCCAGAAGCATGCTTTAGAATTAATGATTAGTCTACTCCATTCAGTTAACTGGAATTTTTGTATTAAAAACATTACTCATGTCCCCATAGAATAATGCAGTTCCTATAGAATTTATATACAGTTAAATGTTTGACACAATTATAGTGAACATTCCTGTGAGACTCTGTCATTCTCATCACTGTTTAATCAGAAACACATAATGAAATATAGTCTTGTGAAGTTTTTTTTTTTTTTTTGAGACGGAGTTTCACTCTTGTTACCCAGGCTGGAGTGCAATGGCACGATCTTGGCTCACCGCAACCTCCACCTCCTGGGCTCAGACAATTCTCCTGCCTCAACCTCCTGAGTAGCTGGGATTACAGGCACGTGCCACCATGCCCAGCTAATGTTTTGTATTTTTAGTAGAGACGGGGTTTCACCATGTTGACCAGGATGGTCTCGATCTCTTGACCTCATGATCCACCCGCCTCGGCCTCCCAAAGTGCTGGGATTATAGGCTCCAGCCACCGCGCCCGGCTAGTCTTGTGAAGTTTTGTCCAATGTCTATCCCTAAAGTAGATGGAAATTTTTTCCATTAAGTTGGTGACTTCAGTATTTCTCTTTAGAAAAGTATATGCATAATGTAAACATTTAAATATATTGGTTACATAATGTGCATATTTATTTTTATATACTTGCTTATATACCACTTTATCAAATTCTTATATAATGTATATTAACTATACGTCTGGTAATGACAATGACAAATGAGCCTTCTTTGTGTTTTAGGGCCAGATAAAAAGGTAATTGGTTAATAGCCATTTGTCATCATTGGTGAAAAATCAACTCAAAGTCATGTTTTATTATTTGAGTTATGAGCATTATCTATAAAATGACACCTTGACTGGGTGTGGTGGCTCACACTGTAATCCCAGCACTTTGGGAGGCTGAGGCATGAGGATCACTTGAACCCAGGAGTTCAAGGCCAGCCTGGGCAACAGAGAGAGTCTTCATCTCTACAAAAAAATTTAAAAACACACCCACACACAAAAAGCTAGGCAGGCATAGTGGCACTCACCTGTGGTCCCAGTTAGGAGGCTGAGGTAGGAGGGTCCCTTGAGCCCAGGAGGTTGAGGTTATGGTGCCTCTGATCATTACACTGCACTACAGCCTGGGCAACAGAATGAAACCATGTCTCAAAAAAGAAAAAAAATCCATGACACCTTAACGTCTATATTATTTTATTTTATTTTCACAATTTTGTGAGATACAAGTTTTTCAAAGAAATAGACTGAGCCGGGCGCGGTGGCTCACGCCTGTAATCCTAGCACTTTGGGAGGCTGAGGTGGGTGCATCACCTGAGGTCAGGAGTTCAAGACCAGCCTGGCCATCATGGTGAAACCTCATCTTAAAAAAAAAAGAAATAGACTGAGAGTGCTGAAAGACTAGCCCTCTGAGACTAGTTTTTAAAGACTTAAAAATTCTACAGTTGTCAAGTAGCATACCTAAACAAGTAGCGTACCTAAACTCATATCTTGAGATTCTCAAATACATTGTTTATTTTAATACTTTATACCAGGGTCACCAGCTTGATATGACAGTTTGGCTATAAGGACATTTCTGGCTTATTATTGATTGCCTGCAGCATCTCCAAAATTCAGCCAAACTTGTTTTTAAAGCTGAAAAGTACAATTTTTTTTTTCTTTTTTTTAAAGACGGGGTTTCACCATGTTAGTCAGGCTGGTCTTGAACTCCCGACCTCAGGTGATCCGCCCACCTTGGCCTCCAAAGTGCTTGGATTACAGGCATGAGCCACCACGCCCGGCCTGAAAAGTACAATTCTTATGTTTATGGCTATGTCTTTACTGGCTTGAAGACAGGCACTTTGTTTTATTAATTTTTGTATCCTTCATAGTGTCCTTAATAAGGACTCAGAAAATATTTTGGGGATGAATAAAGTATATTGTGATGTTTGGTTGAAGTGGGGGAAAAACCTGATACAGTCACCTCAGAAACTTTTTTTTTTTTTTTTGAGACGGAGTTTCGCTCTTGTTACCCAGGCTGGAGTGCAATGGCGCGATCTCGGCTCACCGCAACCTCCGCCTCCTGGGTTCAGGCAATTCTCCTGCCTCAGCCTCCTGAGTAGCTGGGATTACAGGCACGTGCCACCATGCCCAGCTAATTTTTTGTATTTTTAGTAGAGACGGGGTTTCACCATGTTGACCAGGATGGTCTCGATCTCTTGACCTCGTGAACCACCCGCCTCGGCCTCCCAAAGTGCTGGGATTACAGGCTTGAGCCACCGCGCCCGGCCTCTCAGAAACTTTTTTAGGAGGCTGTACACATTTTCAGCACACTCAGTAAAGATAGTTTTTGTTTGTTTGTTTGTTTGTTTGTTTGTTTTTTCTTTTTTTTTTTTTTTTTGAGATGGAGTCTGTTGTCCAGGCCGGAGTGTAACAGCACGATCTCAGCTCACTGCAACCTCCACCTCCTGGGTTCAAGTGATTCTCCTGCCTCAGCCTCCTGAGTAGCTGGGATTACAGGTGTGTGCCACCACGCTCAGCTAATTTTTGTATTTTTAGTAGAGACAGGGTTACACCATCTTGGCCAGGCTGGTCTTGAACTCCTGACCCTGTGATCCACCCACCTGGGCCTCCCAAAGTGCTGGGATTACAGGCATGAGCCACTGTGCCTGGTTGTTTGTTTCGTTTTACACTTTAAATTGGTGGAAACATTGCCTCAATTTCCCATTTCATTTTTGATGTCATGCTTTGGAGAGATAAGCTTAAAGTAGGTGCTGGAAATGACAGTCACCTGTATAATATGCTTCTGGATATGTTTGTTTGGGCTTAGATATTCCAGATGACCCACAACAAAAGGGTCATCTAGAGTATCTAAACACAATTTTAATGAGAATGTCTAGAGAGTGGGGTTATGACAATTTAGGTCTTCATAATTCTTCCCTTCATGTCGACGACCCTTGTGGAATACATATTTCTATACTTTTTCTATCAAGGGATTAAAGGATAATACTATTAAGGATAATACCATTTGGTTCCCAAATGTGACTGCTTATGAGAATCGCCTGTGTGGTTTCAAAGGAAATTCAGATTCTCAACTTCTACTCTAAACAGAAAATATTTAGATTTAGGATTAGAAAATATTGGGTGAAGTCCAAGGCATCTGTAACTGTAATAACACTCTCCCTCGAATTCCAATGAT